CATTTAAAATATAATCAGGGGAATTAGCAATTCTTGCATTAAAATCACCACACAGTAAAACATTACCCATTTTCATATATTTTGCAGTTTCCTGTTCTAAACATTCAATAATATCCCGGTCGAGTCCCTGGGTATATGATGACATTGAGGGTGGGTTATACACTACACACATACACAAGTCTTTTTGAAAACCGAAAAAATCCTTTTCTAACTTTATCCACATAATGTCAGTATAAGTGTTTTTGAGAATTTTTACAGAAGGTTTGATATTTTTTTTAACTAAGACTGCCAACCCACCAAAAAATCTATTGTTTGCCCTAGTTTTAGGTCTACATACATTAAGCTACGTAAATATAAACAAAGGAAATTTAAACAAAACATTCTTGACAGTCTGGATAATCTAAGGGATAATAATCCAAAGAGTTATTGGAATCTCATCAAAGAATTAAAAAAAGACAATTCGGATGGTCCAGAACATTCTATTCAAACTAACGTCTGGTTTTCATATTTTTAATCTTTAAATCTTAACTCTGACAAATTTAAAGACAGATTAGAGGAAATTAACAAGAAAGTAAAAAATTTTGAAAAAAAATCAACTTTTTGTGAACTGGAATTACAAAATAACCCTAAAAGAAATTTTGGCTGCTATAAATAAACTAAAGAATAATAAAGCTGCAGGACTAGATGGTATCCCAAACGAGATACTGAAATCAGGGGGTAGTATATTTGCACCTGTTTTGCAGAAACTTTTTAACTTGATATTCTGCTCTGGAACATACCCTCGCAAATGGTCATTGCCTTATTTATGTCCAATTTTTAAAGCAGGGAGTCCTAGTAAACCTGAAAATTACAGAGGCATAGCAATTAATTCATGCATTGGAAAATTATTTAACAGTATTCTTAATAAAAGACTTGACATTCACCTTGATAAAAATAATATAATTCATCCATGTCAGGTTGGCTTTAAAAAAAGAGTAGAACATCTGACCGTATGTTTGTTTTAAAAACCATATTAGATAATTATACTAACAGAAAAGGGGAAAAAATTAATGCTTGCTTTGTGGACTTTAAAAAGGCTTTTGATAGGGTCATACACTGTGGTATTCGATACAAATTATAGGAAAATAACACATCTGGAAAATTTAATACTAATTTTAAGAGATATGTGCAGAAAAAATTAAATGTCAGTGAAAGTGGGTAATGTATTAACGCCATCATTCAGCTCGCTAGTTAGGTTAAGGCAAGGGGATGTTCTAAGCCCAAATTTATTTAAGCTTTTCATTAACGATCTGCCTCCAAGATTTGAACCGAGTCCAGATGCTGTTGATATCAATGGGCGTAGAATTGATTGTCTTATGTACGCCGATGACATTATTATATTATCAAACACTAAACAGGGTCTTCAAAACCGACTTGATATACTGCATACTTATTGTATTGATTGGTGTCTAGATGTAACTTGTCCAAAACAGAAGTTTTAATTTTTAACAAGCCTGGAACATTTTTGAAGGAATCACTTTGTTTAGATAATGAGGCTATAGAATGTGTTAACAGATATAAATATTTAGGGATAGTCTTTACTTCTAGTGGTCTTTTTCAGCAGGGGAAAGAAGAGCTATTCAAAAAGTCCTTAAAGGCAAAATTTAAAGTACAAAAATCCATGTCAGCTTGTAATCCAAGTATTGATACTGCAATTCATTTATATGATCACACAATAAAACCAATTTTATTATATTGTAGTGAAATTTGGGGTACATTTAAGATTAACTCTGCTGCTTGCAAGAAAAAAAAGTGATTATCTATTTGAATTAATTTACATAAATGATTATTTGGAAAAATCACATTTCAGATATCTAAAGTATATTCTTGGTGTAAATAAAAAAGCCTCAAATTTGGCAGTGTTGTCAGAGGTTGCAAGATATCCTCTTTATTTTTCTGTCATTATATCTATGGTAAAATATGTACACAGGCTTAACAAATTGGACGATGGGTTACTTTATGATGCTTATTTTTGTAATAAAATTTTAGATGCAGGAAACATTAATTGTTGGTATTCGTCTATGAGATATGTACTTCAATCACTTGATATACAAAATTTGAATACAAAGCTCAATAAGTTAATTAAATTTGTAAATTGTAAACTTTGTAACAGTTTTAAAACATTTTGGGTGGTCAAAAGATCTGATACCTTATCACTTTATATAACGAACAGAGAAAATTATTATGTCCATAACATGATAGTATATATTAGACTCGTTTTTCTTTTTTCCAATCATATTGTGCATAATATTGTTGTAAATGATGCCCTTTATGGGTTCTTGATTAGATTAATAAAATTTTTATCTTATCTTATCTTATCTTCCTATGGTAATATTAATCGCTGTAAAATATGAATCGCTGTATTCATCGTCAATTCCATGAAAGAAAGATCAACAAGTACAAGTTTTTTCATAGATCAGTTTTAGCATTATTTTATTCAGGTGTTATTTGGTAATTCATATTCTAATGTCAATAATATATTTGATTGTTGTATTTTTCGAAATTTGGCATTCACATAATCATAATAGCTACATATCATTTTGCTTTTTGTTTGATATTGTACAGAGAAGAAGGGAATTATTTATAATTGTCAAATAAAAACTACGGCTGAATAAATCCAGCAAGGTGTCGTTTGCTTTCTCTTGATCTGTTTGCCGTCCAAAAGCAGCTGGGTGCTATAGTTTTTGCTAAAAAAAAAAGAGGTCTTCCGAAAATTGATCGCCGTAAACGTACACGTTAACCTGGAACATGCGGACGGAAATATATTATAACAGAAAACTCATGGACCAAACGGGCATAAGGAAATTATATGCGTTAATAATGTCTGTAACTAAAGATGGCCTACTGTCAAGTCCAAACTATTTATACGAAAAATGGGGGAATTGGCAGCTGATAGTCAACTATAAAAAAAACTTTACGTTTTCAAACAGAAGAAATAATAGAAATTATAGCTAACTTACATTTTTGAATAGATATTGATGAGAAGTCACAAGTACAAGAACGTTGAGAACAGGGAACTCTAGAAAATATTTAAATATGTAATATGAAACTCAGTAATGTTTCATTGATTGATGTGTACTTACTTCTTGTTTATTTTAAAGCCGTTGATTCAAATTTACATAAAAAACAGCACTTTATAATTTTGGTGAGTCTGAAGCACGTTTCTGCATTTACTTTCATTAGGTACCCTCAAAACAAACAATGTAAATACCAAGGATGTATAAATCTCGAGAAGTTAATACCTCATCACACTAGGACCACGATCTCGCTCGATCTCAGAAATTATGAAAAAATTTAGAAGTCGTAGTAAGGTTGTTGTTGTCGTAATAAGGACGTGCCAAGGTCTTCATGATCGTGGAGGTCCACGACCAACTTTGAACATGCTCAAAACATTCGTAGTGCATTCGTGGCCAAAACTAGTCGTAGTAGAAGCGTAGGAATGTCGTAGTAAGGACGTAGTAAGATCGGGAGTAGCGTAGAAGCATTGTATTGAAAATGTGGTGCAATCGGGTAGCAAAATGGATAAGATTTCGCTGCGACCTTACAACGATTTCACTGCGACTATCCCGATTTCACTACGTCTTTATTACGATTCTACTACGATATTGATACGATTATACTACGATGAGAAAGACAATCGTACGCTGCTACTACGTGCTTGCCGTCTTTAGTACGACCTTACTACGATATTATTACGTCTTAGCCACGATAATTGCACGATCTCATTCTGTTGATGTGAAAATAAACGGATGCAATGTGTTTTGATACCTTTGAAGGCATGTTTTCTTAAGGAAACTGGTGTGTACAATGGGGAAAGTCAATATATTTAAAGGGACGAAGAGCGCAGCGACAAGGTAGTGGAAACGTGGTTCGATCGTAGTAGACTCGTATTGAGATCGTAATGCGAACGGGAAGGTCTTGGTAGAAGCGTACAGAGATCGTGCAAGTCGTGGTAAGGTCTTATTAATAAGACGTAGCAAGAGCGTGACACGATCGTAACTAGAATGTGTTACTATCGACGTAGAAGAATCTTATCAGGATCATAGCAAGGTCGTGATATGAACATGAAAACTATGAAATACTGAATATTCTAGCCGATCATACCACGATATCATCGCGATCTTATTTTTTATAGATCGTAGTGGGATCTTCATGGTCTTGGTCTAGTGTGACGGGGGGTTTTACCAGCTATATACGCCAAAAGGGTCCTAACAAGAATAGCAAAATCCGCCGAAGGTCTCTAAATAAAAAATCAGAATTAATCATCGGAAAATTTAAGAAAGGAATGTTACAAATCATGCCGACACAGGTGCTTGGGGAAATGGAACCCCTTTCTCTTTTCCTATTTTTTGTGTTTTGTGTTTTTTAAATTTTATCTTATTTTCTTAAATATTTAAACTTATGTCCCATGGTTTTGGTTTTATCTTACAGTATCCTCAACGTGCTGCCCCTCCTCTCTATCGTAAGATTGAGTATACATGACCAAAAACATAAAGCCTCGGTCACACCTTAACGGATAACTGAAAATAAGTTAGAAATATTATAGAAAATATGATAAAAAATCTAAAACACCAATAACGAAAAGATGAAAAGAGAACGGGGTACCATGCCAAAGGCGCATGTGACCAGCAGTGATATCGACTAGTGTTGGAAATGAAATATACATATAACACTTTATAATTGCTCGTTCGAACCACTTTTCTGGATCGATTTACGTTCATAATATGCATGAATGCTAAAAAAAAACAGAAAGCCAATTAAGAATGTATAAAAGATTGAATAATTGAGCGTATTTTTTTCTCTTTTTTTAATAAAGATAAATAAAAATAAAATCGAACAAACAAGATCAAAAAGAAAAAGAAATAGAACGAAGGATTTTTGGATTTGATGACTACCCATTAAGTCCCCCATTTCCCAATACGAATATAAATAGAATATTAATATATATTTAACGCGTCAGATTCTATTTATAGATATTGCTTATTCCCTATATAAATGAAATGGTGTAAACACAACTTTTCATCAAAATTCATTCTACGATCTGACAATGGCGAGCAGCGGAGACAGCGAAACAGCTTCTGTAAGTATTAATTATAAACAACATGGTAAAAATGTGTTTTTGAATACACATATGGACAAATAAATTACTGAACACGACCACTCCCTGAAACGTGTAAATAAATTGGATGTATTTTATCATTACAATTAAGCCTTTTTGTGGATACATTTTTGTATACAGACACATTTGCGGTCGAATATTTTGATGTTCTCAATCATTGGAAATATATAAATAGAACATTTAAATGTCTTGATTGCGTCATGATCGATGAATAAAGGTCAAAAACGTGTGAGGTTCTAACAGGGGTCCTTCGGTTAATAATAATATCTATAAAGGTGTAATACCACCATTGATTTTCCCCTATTAGTCTTTGTTAAATTTGCACTTTTCAAAAAATTGTGCAGAATTTATCTTTGTTTCAAATAAAGAAATACTTGGCATGAGTAAAGTTTTATCCTGTCCAGTACTATAGAAAAAATTTCACATAACATTTCATTGCATATAAGAAAATAACCATCACTGGAAGTTAACCAATCAAATTTTCCCCCTTTTTTAACCTGTGTACAAGCTTTAGTAACCATGTAACCTCAAGTTTCCAAAATATTCTATAGAAAACCCAAATAAAGAAATAATGGTGCTTTGAAATACCCAAGATATATGTTTATGACTCAGAAATGTTTTACTGCAATGAAATGTAGGATCAATTACCTACAACTGTCAAATTCAAGGGAATATTTTTTTTCGACCTATTTTCGTATGCAACCGGATGTGACGTACTATGATTTGGTGGTATTACACCTAAACTAATAATGCATAACTTTCCAGGCTTCATATAAATAAAGTAAACTGTATATATTAAGCATTGAATTCTAAAAATCATAACAACTAGTTAATCGCGTAAACAAATGATGCTTTATTTTTTTTCTCCATCAAATGGGCTCACAAGGAGCATAATATAATCCATTTTGTGAATCCTTATACAAATTTAAGAAATATATACAAACCAAGCTATCAATATTGTTTATTAGCTGTTGGAAAAAACAAATAGATAAATTTTCAGACAGTAAACTGAAAACCTACCTTTTATATAAAACAAATTTTGGTTTTGAAAAATATCTAACATTGATCAAGAATTTTGAACTTAGAAGAAGTTTTACTAAATTACGTGTATCTTCTCATAGATTACAAATAGAATTAGGTAGATATCAGGGTATTCCCCGAATTAACAGAATATGTAATAAATGTTCTTCCAATACTGTCGAAGATGAGGCTCATTTTCTATTTGATTGTAACAAATTTGAGGATGATAGAAATTGTATGTTAGCTAGTATTGCACAATATAATTCTTATTTTAATCATATGAACAGTCAAAGCAAAATTATCTGGTTATTTAGTGTAGAAAATGTTGAGTTACTTAAAATAATATGTAATTTTATATACAAACATCTTCCTTAGTGAAGATTAGTTAAAGGAAATCTATGTGTGTATATACATTTGATTGGACATAGAAAATTATATTCATCTGAATATCACAAACATACTAGCCGATTAAAAAAAAAATAATTGTTAAGATATATTATTTATTCAAATGTTCTCTTATATCCTTGAGGCATCGTCCCCTGGTATCAACTGCATTCAAGTTACCTATGATGCTTCCTTGTTTGCTTTTGATACAGGTAGGAAAGAGACATTTACACACATTTTACATGCCTATGGCCCATAAGGTATCGCCCCCTGGTGTCAGCTGCCTTTAGGAAACCATAATGCTTTCCTATTTGCTGCTGACACAGGATGAGTCATGGACATGTTTAATTTCTACTTTCTTTTTGGCTAATTATTATATATTTAATTGATCCAACTTTTTGTGTACTATACATATGTGGATATCTATTTTTCTTTTTTTCTTTTTGGGCTGTTTGTTTGTTATCTATATCAACCACACTTGCAATAAAATGCATTAGTATTAAAAAAAACAACATACTATAGATTCTTTATCTACGTATTCTTTAAGAACTTAAATAGTTCTCGTTTAACTTTTTTTTTTTTTATCTCATTGTTTGTATTGTATTATGAAAAAATTATTGATGTTGTAATGTTTATGCCCTTTGGGGCCCATAATTGGAAATAAAATATCTAAATATCTTAAAAAATATCTTATCTTAATGTCATTATAATATTATTTTTACAAAAATAATAAACAATACAGTATACATAGTTACAAACACAAATAAGAAACAACAGTTTTCACATATTCTTATATATATAGTATATATAAAACCTTCTTCTCAGGCACACCTCTAGAAAGTAACAAAAAAGAATTATGTGAGTAGGCTAAATATATCTAGCTTAAATGCAGGAGGCACCAAGGGACGTTGCTATATTGCATGGTGGGTGCATATTAAAATGTGTATCGGGACATTAACATGATTAATGATATGGTAAGATATTGTAAGAAGTTGCACATAACTGGTATGTCATCCTCGTGCCTGGTGCAGAGGAGTCAGTACTATTTAAAGTGACACAACTGCAAGAGGCACCAAGGGACAATGCTAATTGACATGCCAAAGTGCACATATTACGAAAAGATAAAATATTACCAGTTTAATAAAAAAAATATCACAAATAAAAAATGTTTTTCATCATCAACTTCATTTGAGGTGCACCTGAGACATATTCTGTCTTGTCGGAGAGTACCCTGATAGCGACCTTGTTCAATTCTTAGTCTGTGAGAAGAAATACGCAATCGAGTGAAATTTCTCCTCTGCTCAGGTGATTGTAATAAAGTAAGATATCTTTCAAGACCAAAATGAGTCTTATATATAAAAGTGCTATAGCTATGTACAAAGCTTCCCATCAGCACAATTGTGCATTTGTTTTCTCCACTGTATTTCATAGTGCTGATAAAAAAAATTTTAATTAAAATTTTGAATCTAAAGTTGCTTGCAAAGGCTAGACTGTCAACCCCATTATTTTTTTTTTTTTTTTGCAAATAGTTTAAAGATCCATACCAAGAGGAATGTTTTATTCAAATAATAGCTTTGACTCTAAATATGCATCTTTTAGTAATGGAAAGGATGAACCCAAATTTTCAAGCCGGTGCCAGTATCTGATCATAGATTTGGTGATATCAAAATGTAAAGGAAATCTCCCAAGTTCTGAAAGAGTGGCAAAGTTTGTTGTTCTTTTCCCCGCACCTAGTAATAGTTTACAAAATTTCACATGTAATCTTTCAGAAAGAAGTTTAGGATAGGCTTGATCAACTGTAGAAGTCTGAGAAATTTTTTTTTTTGAAGGGATTAAAAAAGCCCCAAATTTCCGAACTATACAAAAGAATGGGTTTAATTGTAATTACTATGATCAAATACGTGGAGGCTGTTTTTAATATTTGGATTCAGTGACAAGAAGTCCTTTCGTAGCTTTTAGTATGCTTTCAGTGCCTTATTGTACAATTCCTTCTGAGCAAAGGAAAAAGATCCTGATGCACTAAATGTTATACCTAAATATACCTACATGTATGTAGAGGGTCTAGATAATACTCAACGATAATTCGTACTATTTAAGTTATGCGTCAAATGGTTATGAAATGTATACATACATAAAAAATATACAAGATAATGATAAAAAATATACAACAAGATAATGAATACAAAATTCAGTGAATATTTTGGATAACATTATTTTCTTCATCAATATCATTTGTAAAATGACACGGCGACTAATCATCGTTTGAAATACAGAACTTTGCACCAAAAAGTATCGTACCGTACTACGGCGAAAAGACTTTTGCGTTCTGTAAAAATGAGAATCCTGAAAATGTAATCAGCAACAAATCGTAGGAGCAATACTTGAACTACATGAGAAAAACAATCAATATCACACAATAATTGAAAAAGTTCGAAGTTCCCTTTTCGATATCTGAAATCGAAATTCATCTCATTTAAAAGACGTCATATATGTTATAGCGACAAACTTTATCAAAAGCTATTGAAGATATTTATACATCAAGCACAAATTTTACTCAACAAATACGAGATTATACCTCACAACCTTTAATCAAAGTACTGAACTACTGAACATCGGATGACCGCAAGTTCTGGTGGATGGTCACAAGCACTTGCCTCAAAAAGAAAATAACATTTCCATACCTGAAAGTTGGGTTAAGGAACATAGATATATTTTTTTCTGAGACATGCTCCTGTGTGGATGATGAATAAATGACAAGGAATTCAACCTCACCGTTATAACTATTATATTGTAGTGATATAATCATTTGTTATCAGTATACTCTGGTTTGCTGTTATATATTATATTAATATTTGTAACACAGTTATATATAATTTTCATCCATTTGTATATAATTCTATTCTACTATTCTAATGATAGTGCAGTGCAAGTTCATGGTGGACACTCTTCTGTAATAGTTCGTTTTTCTAATAGATTGGATTTGAGTAGGCATTCATATTATCCCGCGTTTTTGTAAAAAAAATTGGACTATCTTCTTTATAAAAGTCTGTTCTAAAATTGTGTAAAATATCTTTGAAAATAATTCATTTTTATTAAACTTTCATGATTTTAGAAAAGAAACGGCATTTTTTTTTGCTGTATATTTATATAAAAAAAAAAAAAATCATCTGTGATTTTTTCATAAAAATTAGAACAAATAATCTTCATACATAATCAAACCAAATGTCAAAATGTATAAAAACGTCATCGCTTCTTTTTTTAGAATAACCAACCATCACCAGAAACGATGGACAGAATCCTAGCTACTATATATGGACAATGTATTGGGGATGCAATTGGACTCCTCACTGAATTCTTATCGAAGAGAGAAGCAAAGCTGGTGAATATTGTTTTAGCATTCTATGACAATGACTTGTGTATAAGTGTATGGATCTCTATGAAATTGTAACACAAGTTTCCATACCTCAAAAGGAAGGTTGGGATTGATTTTTTGGGTAATGGCCCAAAACGTATAGGAATTATGGGTCCAAAAGAGGCCGAAAAACAATGATTTTAAGGTTTCCGGACAAATACTTGAGTATGAATTTATGGATCTTTATGAAATTGTACAACAAGGTTCCATACCAAAAGAGGAAAGTTGGAAATTGATTTTTGGGGTTATGGCTCTAACTGTTTATGAATTAGGGGCTAAAAAGAGGCGAAAAACAATACTTTTCTAAAACTTTGTATACATTGCTTATTTCGTGACCAATTTCAATGGGGTTTCATTCAACGAGTTGAATTCTTGGAGTTCTTTAGTATACTGAATCTATAAACCGTGTATTTATATTTTGGATGGATTTTTGGTCCCGTTTCTAAATTGGTACGCATTGAGGTCCAGAATTAAACTTTGTCTGATTTCAACAAAAAATTAATTACTGGGGTTCTTTGAGATGCCGAATCTAACAGTGTATTTAGGTACTTAATTTTGAGCGCTGCTTTCAAATTGGTCCACATTAAGGTCCAAAGGGTCCTAAATAAAACTTAGTTTGATTTTAACAGAAATTGAATTCTAGGCTTCTTTGATGTGCTGAAACTAAATACGTATTGAGATTTTTGATTTTGGGTCCAGTTTTCAAGTTGGTCAAAATTAAGGTCCAGAATTAAACTTTGTTTGATTTCAACAAAGAATGAATATATCGGGTTCTTTGATATGCTGAAGCTAACCGTGTATTTAGATTTTAGATTTTGAGCCCTGTTGTCAAATTGGTCCACATTGGGGTCCAAAGGGTCCAAAATGAAACTTTGTTTGATTTCATCGAAAATTGAATTCTGGGGTTCTTTGATATTCTGAATCTAACCATGTATTAAGATTTTGGATATCGGGCCATAATAGGTAAATGCCTAATTTCAAATTTCAAGTTCTTAGACCACATTCATTTTGTGTCAGAAACCAATGCTGTGTCAAATATTTAATCACAGTCCAGATACAGAGCTGTATCATGTTTGAATGTTGTGTCCATACTTGCCCCAACTGTTCGAGATTCGACATCTGCGGTCGTATCAAGCTGCGCCTTGTGGAGCTTTTTATTTAATGTTGATAGCCAGGTTTTAGTGTGACAAAAAGATAAATATGTTCATAGCACAGTCTGTTAGAATAAAAACAGTCACCCGCATGTCTTAAATGCTTTGACAATAGACAGAAGACAACAAAATACAATGATATGTGCAATATATCTAAATATCAATAGTTGTGAATGAATTAAAATCAATTATCTGCCATCAATAATTACCATTGGTGTTCCTCTTGAAAAGAACACAAGTGTTCTGCAAAACCAATCGTGTCCGTCTTAAAAAGAACGCAAGTGTTCTGCAAAACCAATCGTGTTCGTCTTGAACAGAACGCAAGTGTTCTGCAAAACCAATCGTGTTCGTCTTCGTCTTGAACAGAACGCAAGTGTTCTGCAAAACCAATCGTGTTCGTGTTGAACAGAACGCGAGTGTTCTGTAAATCGATCTACCAGACGTCCAATGTAAACCTACCCACAGAGCTTGTTTCTGACAATAGTTTCTAAATTAGTAATCTATAGAAAAGAGGTATATTAATATTATTTCATGTCAGCACAGGAGTTCTAACTACAGGGCTGGTGATACAATCGGGAAGGAAATATCCACCAGCAGTGGCATCGACCTGATTCTTGACCTTGATACGTTCCTGTTCGTGTGGAATATTACTCTATGAGAATTGTTATACGATAAATTACTTTTGCATGTTTCTTTGTTTATTTCCTAGAGGAAAAGATGTTTCAGAATTTCAAGGTTATATTCAAAACCTTTACACACGGTACATTGATGAATGTATTGCATGGGCGTCAGCATATACCCATATATAAAGTTAGGAAGAACTTAAATCCTTCATAGACTTTGTCTCCACTAATTGTCCTGTCATACACTCGCATCGTTGTACAGTTTTTTTCTGATAGTAACTCTGATATCCGTACTTGAATTAACCTTCAAACTCAGAAAAACAACCAAACAGAGATTTCAGTTTTCTGATATTTGTGATTATTTTTAACAACCAATACCACTGTTTCAACAAATGACTAGACTACAATAAGTGTGTCTCCAACAAACGACTACAATTTAATCTGAGGAAGTGGTTAATTATTTTGTTTCCGTAATTTTTCTAATTCATCAATTTACTAGTATATTTCATTTTTCTTCAGTATTATGGGAAAGTAGCCAAAGAATTGGAATACTTACATAAACAAATCGTTTGTGATGGACACAGGTCAAGGTGGAAAGAAGGCGACTGGACAGATGACAGTGACCAAATGATACTAATCATGAGGTCTTTAGTCGACTGTGGTGGAAAGGTATGTTTCAGAATGTTCAGTTTCGAAGTCAACTGCCAGCGCTCTAGACCATTTAACCACATCCACTTTATAAAAATGAGGCTACAATACTCGATTGTCTATCCTATATATTTAAACATGATATACTTTTAATGACCAAATGAAACGAAATGTGCATTTCGTCAAATATTATCATGTTTGTTCAAATATTTTCATTCTGATAAACGTGCTGGATGGAAAACAAGTACTTGTGTTTATGGTTTTCCATAAATACCTTATTTTTTTTCATCAAAATACCTACTCTAAGTTTTTTTTACATTTCTGGATAAGTTTAGAATTTTCAAGTATTTTATCCTCGATCATATATGAAGAGACATTTATTGTCGAAATGCGCATCTGATGCAGTTAAATTGGTACCGTTCATATTATTTGGTAGTGTTTAATTGCATATTTTCCCATGTACATCAAAATAAATTCCTACCTAGCCAAAACGAAATCTTTAGGTAATACACAACACTTGATTCCCATTTAAAAAACGTCTGAATACATCACTAAAATATTAAAAAGTAATTTATTTTTAGGTAGATCCTGTTGACTTTGCTAAAAAATTGAGAACCTGGATACGGAGTGGTTTTAGTGAGTTGGGTGATTTTGCTGGATTGGGTTTAGGTGCTACAACAGACAAAGTAACGTCACATCCAAATTACTTGAAGGACCCACACGAGGTAAGACTAATTTCACGTGGTACTTACCATAAACTGGCTTTACTGAACAAATCAAAAGTTAGAGCAAATAAAGTCTCTGTTTTGTCATGTTTCCAAGACTCTTCTTAATAAAACAGACAACTCATATTATAATTTAGCACCTTTTAATATAAAATGCAAATACTAAGTGACCATTAAAACAGTATAATCTACCAAAAAATGTGCAAAACAATAGAAAATATGCATAGTGTTTTATGCTGTCATATATATAGCCAACATAACATACTAGAATAAATAAAACGGTAGAAATATTTGTTCTTCTTTAATTAGTTTTAACAGATTAAAAAAAATGCAAGATAAAGTAAATTCTACTCTTATCAGATATTGTTACATATATAATACAATCTTAAAATCAAGACAAATAGTAGTCATTCTATCTCAAAGAATCTTCATTGTGCAAAGTAAATATCATTTTGTTTCACCCTCAATTCTCTTCAACTTCGTATTCGATTCCAATGCTCTTTAACTTCGTACTCGATTCTAATACTCTTCAACTTCGTACTTGATTCCAATGCTCTTCAACTTCGTACTTGATTCCAATGCTCTTTTAAAACTTCGTACTTGATTCCAATACTCTTCAACTTCGTACTCGATTCCTATACTCTTCAACTTCGTACTTGATTCCAATGCTCTTTAACTTCGTACTTGATTCCAATACTCTTCAACTTCGTACTTGATTTCAATGCTCTTCAACTTCGTAATCGATTCCAATGCTCTTCGATTTCGTACTTGATTTGGCCTTTTTTTATTTTTTTTTATTCGAGCTTCACTAATGAGTCTTTTGTAGACGAAACGCACGTCTGGCGTACAACATTTTAATCCTGGTATATATGATGAGTTTGTTCATTATTGTGTATTTCTTCGCCCTTTTAGATGTATTACGCAATGAATGAAATATGCTTTTAAACTAATTAAAAAAATAATCTCGGAATAACCTATGATGGAAAGAGAGTATACATAATTCTTTTTTCGTGTTTTTAGAACAAAAATTCACAATCGAAGCCCCCTTATAAATGTGATTAATTGTATTCTTAAAACTAAATACCTGAACAACAGGACGGTTAGGTATGACATAAGTGGTTCTGAATCTTTCAAACCACAAGCATACTTATTTACCAACATTTTAGGTAGCTCGGTATGTGTGGGATGAAAATAACAGAAATATTGCTCCTAATGGTGCTGTAATGAGGACCTCCATTGTTGGTATTCATATGTACTGGAGTTTAGATGATGTAACAAAAAATGCAAGGGACTTTGCAAAAACAACACATCACGATCCAAGGTATATTTGTTTAGAATAATTATGCTTATTGATTTATTGCCGAAAAAAACCAATCTATGAACATATCTATCTAGATCTTTTATATGATATTTTAGAACTTTTTATGCCCCCGCCGTAGCGGAGGGGGCATTAAGTTTTACCCTTGTCCGTCCGTACGTACGTCCGTTTTTACGTCCGTCCGTACGTCCCAAAGTTGGTGACCTTATTACATTGTTTCCATTTGTCCGATGATAATGGGGTTTTTATATATCGTCTTATCAACGATTGTTTGTACTATATACTGATTATTAAATCATATCATTTCAAAACATCCGTAAAGCAGAAACATCATCGTGACCAAGTTTAAACTTTCTAAAATGAAACGAAGTGCTTCGCAGTTTCATAAATAACACCAACACAAAGCAATAATTGTTGATCTTGAATCCCCATACTGTAATTTACTGTTTTTCCCAGTCCGGGACAGGTTCTGAATTCTATATTTCATTCTGGCCAATAGAATTTTAGCTTGATCATGCGGGAACCAATCAGAACCGATATTTGTTAAGTAATAATTTAAAGATGGTGTGGATATCGAATGAAACTAATAACTTCACACCGTGATGCGATGCAGAAAGCAAAATAAAGATAAAGTAAATATTTTAACAAAGTTTGGATGAAACCATAAAAACAAACTATCATAAGTTGTACTCTTCCATAAAACTAAAAGTCTTGACTGATTTCAGAAATGAAGCAGAAAGATGTTTTGTAATATATAGTCTGAAACAATTGAATACTGGGCGAAATTTCAAACAGAAATGAAAAGCAAGTGAAATAAAAAAAAGTTAACACAACACGACATCTCAAACATAATTGGATACAAATAACACTTACAAAGCAACTGAATATGGAGGAAAAGTGTGTGCATACCTGGCTTATACATATTCTGATTATTTTTGTCTTTTAGATGTCAGGCTTCAACAGTCGCTGTGTCTGTTGCCATAGCGACCATGCTTCAAGGAAAGCACAAGGACAAAAAAGGCAAATTCAAAGTGAAAGAAATAATACAAGATGCTTACACATATGCATCAACGTGTTTAGAAACGGATAAAGAAAAGAAAGACCTTATGTTTTATTTGAAATGTGATAATATTAAAGATTTGAAATTAGATGAAGCCGATAAAATTGGCTACACATACAAATCCATGGGTACAGGATTCTGGGCATTAAAGCAAGATGATTTCCGGAAGACAATCACCAAAATTATGATGCAGGTACATATTCAGTTATATTTGCGTTTGGAAACCCTGTACATTTGCTTCTTTCATTGTGACGCAAATTTAACCATTTTGCCAACAGTTGACATCATGAATTGGTTTAAAGTGAACTGCATATAACACAAATATTCTTTCTAGTTTAAATTGCTACACTACGCCATGACTTCAAATAGTATAAATAATAATAATAATAATAATAAATATTATCATTATTATTATTATTTCACCATCAGGGATTTAGAGGAAATAAGAGATATTGCGCTAGATATAGATAAACCGGAAAATCTGAACCGTAACAACAACTTTAAGAATGAATAAATATACTTATACATATAACCAATTATGAAATATAGATTTATATTCTAATTCAACGTAACAGCTTTTAGATATGGGGCAAATTAAAACAAAAAACCCTTTTTTTTTAATGTAAACTTTTCAAATCTGTACTTGACGTCTTTATTTATTTGTACTAAAGAATTGAAAGATTGCTGTCTGTTGTAATGATTTCTGCTACTAGCATAATCAAGTGGCATAATGATTTTTAAGCATCTAAGTCCTTGTTTGTTTTGATCTTGCTATAGCTGTACAGTGTTGTATTTTCACAATTGAAGACCTTTACAAGGCTCTTTAGACTCCTCTTAGATTGTTAGATGGTAAATGCTAGTTTGTTTTTTTGTTGTCTATTTATCCTGTATTTTCCAATTAAGTAATATGTGCATATTTTTGGTCAATTGTTCACTTGATTAATCTTCTACTTAGGGAGGAGATGCCGATTCAAATGCCTGTGTTGGGGGTGCTTTACTTGGATGCAAACTTGGTATGTCTGCCTTTCCAGAGCCATGGTTGTCGAAACTTTTGCACAAGGACTGGTTGGATAATGAGATTAAAAAGTAAGTGTACTGTGTCTTCACTTTATATTTGTTTTAATCTTATTTAAAAATTTTCAATTCATTCATGGTACTGAACTTGCTATAATCTAAACAATATTACAAGTATCATTGCCAAATTACAAATTTTATATGAAAAAAAATAATTATAGTCGCTTTATTGTGTAAAATTTTTTCACAAAATTTCCAGCATGTCTTCTACATAAGAGGCACCAGTGGTGTTTGAATCCAACTATGGCAGCAAAATCGATAACATTGTATTGAATAAAAAAGAAGTAAATCCGAAATCCGAAAGTAAGTGCCAAATGAAGCTCAGGCCATATATGCTAGGGGTAGAAAAACTTTAATATCTCAAATGAATATATTAACATTGGATGAACATTTGATGAACAAAATGTACAGAAAATTACCATAACAATGACATTGCCTGTTAGCATTAGTACACTGACTATAAGCTTGGTGATTCCCTCGGAGACGAAACGTCAACCAGGCTGAACCAGCAGTGGCATCGATCTACTTGTTGTTAAAGCTTATCAAGATACAAAGCTTTAAATTGTGTACGCCTTACGCCTATTTCGTCTTATACAATTCATGTTAGCGCTACTGTGGTGTTGATACACTTGAGTTTGAAGCGTCTACGAGCAGTGGCATTGTCGCAGTGGTTGTAAAAACTCACCAAGTATACCAAGCATACACCATTTGTGCGTTTGGTCTTCTTAAGACTATTTAGTGGCGCTTGAATAGCTAAAATGAAACCAAATGGAAGGAGTTGAAGAGATTGAAAACGAAAACTTCCCAAAAGTGTTATCAAATCTGGCTGAGGCCGTCTATGTCCATTGGTAGGAAAATTTTTCGAGTATCGAATGACTTTAATAATTTATAAACAGTATATTTACGGAAATCGATCGCAATACTGATCTTTACTGTCTGTATAGGAGTAATGGGTAATGAGTTGGTGGGACGATATATCCATCAGCGATCTGATAAACCGAGTGTTTTCAAAACTACTTGAAGTGGCATCGATCTAGTGGTTGTAAAATTGTGAAAACTTATCATGATACCAAGCTTTAAATTGTTTACGTCGTACGCACATTTCGTCTTATAAGACTCATATGAGAACTGAGCTACCGCGCTAATGATACACTTTAGTTAAAAACGTCCTCCAGTAGTGGCATCGTCGCAGTGGTTATTAAATCTCATCAAGTTTACCAAGCTTACCCTATTCGTACGTTTTGTCTTCATAGGACAATTAAGTTGGGCTTGAATACATAAAATGAAGCAAAATCGAAGGAGTTGAGTAGCATTGAAAACGAAAACTTCCCAAAAGTTTAATAATTTATGAACAGTAAATTTACGGAAAATGATCGCATAACTGATCTTTACTCTCCATAATAGGAGCAAAGTTGATGATTTTACGAGCTTCGGTGCTTGCTGGAAGTATGCATTTTATATATGTCTATACTTTCAAACTGCAGTGTTATACTATAGGGCCTTGTAAACTGGCAATTTGAGCAGCTATACATAAGCTGGGTACTTCATGTACAGTCAAGTAACTTTACATTAATCTGATGTTTATGTACGAGTATCTTTCCACCTTCATTCTGTACCTGTATTCATTAACCCATATTCAAGTTCTTATACTTTATAGTCTGGCACTCTATGTGTTTGCACAAGTACACAAAATATATTTAAGATTTGAGTTCTCTTGTTGGGACTTTATGTACTTATGGTCAGTCTAATATTTATAGCCTTATACTTTATTTATCTACAATATAGCCTTGAATTCATTTTACCTCTAATGCATCTTACGTATCTATTTTTCAACTTGCTATTTATGTATGTCCTATCTATCTATCACTGTATCATGTTCTTGTCAATACCACATATAAATGCATTTATATTTTTGTTTGGTACTCCAGCTTTGTGTGTGATTACTATAGCCTGGAAATTCCAGCATTTATTCATTATTAAACCTGGTACTCCATATATACTTAGACTGTAGCTGCAAGACTTTCTGGTTTATGTACAGGTATTTGTACTATAACTGGCATTTTATGCACCCATACTTGATGGTTCTGTTGTTTTATTTGATTACTTTACCCGAGCATAATTTTTATTAACATTAGTACCATACCAAATCTTTACCCTGTGTGTGTATGTGTGCCCAAATTTTCTCTGGTTTTAACATACATTACATATAATTATGATTGGTATTTTATGTATCTATACTTTAGACAAAACTCGCGTCTGTCGCACATGTACAAAACTTCAATCCTGGTATCTATGATGAGTTTATTTACAACCACTGGGTCTATGCCACTGCAGGTGGAGGTTCCTCCCCGAGAGTATCACTAGCCCAGTAGTCAGCACTTCTGTGTTGACATGAGTTATCATTAATATGGTCATAGCTATAAATTAACTTTGAATTTTTCGAAATACTAAGAAATTTCTATCCCAGGAATAGATTACCTTAGTTGTATTTGGCAAAACCGTTCTGAATTTTGGGTCAATGATCTTCAACTTCGTGCTTTATTTTTTCCCTTTTAGCTGTTTTGATTCGAGCGTCACTGGTGAGTATTCTTCAGACGAAACGCGCGTCTAGCGTACAAAATTTCGACCATGAGTATATATGATGAGTTTATTTATAGCAACATACTTCATTTGTTTAAACTGTCACCTGGTACTTCATATATTTATACATCAGACTGGTTCTTCATGATTTATTTTTTTTGTTATGTATTCCAGATATTTTGAAATGATGAAATGGGAAAGGAATGAAAAATCAGAAGAAAAATGAAAAATACTCTACAAAAGAAAAGAAGATAAATTATGTGGATATGATGCCAATCTAGTATTTTCAAAATAGGACAGAGAGAAGCACTGGCCAATCATTTACAAGTTGGAAAATGTCAGATAATCTCGAGATAACTTCACTCATTGCTATGATAAACTACTTTTTCCATTACTACTTTAACCCAGTCTCACTATCTAATGACTATGATGATTATAGATTTTATACCTTATGAACACGAGTGAAACATGAAAATAGATCATTGATGTTATACTGTATGAACACGAGTGAAATATAAAGATAGATTACTGATTTTATACTGTGTAAATAGGAGTAAACTATAAGTGTGACGTTTTCGTTCTTTTTATACGCCCGTTTATGGGACGTATTATTGTATACCGTTGTCCTTCAGTCCGTCCGTCTGTCCGGCCGTCCGTCCGTCGTCAACATGTCGGACATTAACTCAAAAACGCTTCAACCAATTTGCATAAAACTTTGGTGAATTGTTATATCTATTAACATGAGCTCCCTTTCGTTTTTTATAAATTTTAGATTTTACGTTTCCGAGTTTTGGTGTTTTATTCATTAAAAAAGGGGGATTTTCCAGTTTTCGGACAATAACTTAAGCATGCTTTCACCAATTTGCAAGACACTTTGGTCAATTGTTTATATCTATTGAAATGAGCTCCCTTTCGATTTTTATAAATTTTAGTTTTACGTTTCCGAGTTATGGGGTTTTATTCATTAAAAAAAGGGGGTTTTCCAGTTTTTGGACAATCACTCAAAAATGCTTTCAGCAGTTCTCTTGAAACTTTGGTGAATTGGTAATATCTATTGACATGAGCTCCCTTTCGATTTTCATAAATTTTAGTTTTTATATTTCCTAGTTATGGGATTTTATCCATAAAAAGGAGTGATTTTCCAGTTTGGGACAATACCTTTAAAGTGCTCTGAGCAGTTTTCATTAAAACTTTGGTGACTGGTTTATATCTATTAAGATAACCTCCCTTTAGTTTTTATACGACCGCAAAAAAAATTTTGTGGTCGTATATTGGTATGAAGTTGGCGTCGTCGTCGTCGTCGTCCGGCGGCGTCGTCCGAAGACACATTAGTTTTCGCACTCTAACTTTAGTTTAAGTGAATGGATCTCTATGAAATTTTACCATAAGGTTCAATACCACAAAAGGAAGGTGGGGATTGATTTTGGGGGTTATGGTACCAACAGTTAAGGAATTAGGGGCCAAAGAGGGACCAAAAATAAGCATTTTTGTAACTTCCAGACATAACTTGTGTGTAAGTGTATGGATCTCTCTGACATTGTACCACAAGGTTCCATATCACAAAGGGAATGCTGGGATTGATTTTGGGGGTAATTGCCTCCACATTTTAGGAATTAGGGGCCAAAAAAGGGTAAAAAAACAAGCATTTTTCTAGTTTCATGACAATGACTTGTGTGTTAGTCTTTGGATCTTTCTGAAATTGTACCACAAGGTTACATATCACAAAGGGAATGCTGGGATTGATTTTGGGGGTAATTGCCTCCAAATTTTAGGAATTAGGGGCCAAAAAGGGGCAAAAAACAAGCATTTTTCTAGTTTCATGACAATAACTTGTGTTTAAGTGTATGGATCTCTCTGACATTGTATCACAAGGTTCCATATCACAAAGGGAATGCTGGGATTGATTTTGGGGGTAATTGCCTTCAAATGTTAGGAATTAGGGGCCAAAAAGGGGAAAAAAACAAGCATTTTTCTAGTTTCATGACAATAACTTGTGTGTAAGTGTATGGATCTTTATGAAATTGTACTACAAGGTTCCATATCACAAAGGGAAAGCTGGGATTGATTTTGGGGGTAATTGCCCTAAATTTTAGGAATAAGGGGCCAAAAATAAGCATTTTTCTAGTTTCCAGACAATAACTTGTGTTCAGGTGTATGGATCTCTCTGAAATTGTACTGCAAGGTACCATATCACAAAGGGAAGGCTGGGATTGATTTTGGGGGTAATTCCCTCAAAATTTTAGGAATAAGGGGCCATAAAAGGTAAAAAAAAACAAGCATTTTTATAGTTTCAGGACAATAACTTGTGTGTAAGTGTATGTATCTTTATGAAATTGTACTGCAAGGTTCCATCTCACAAAGGGAAAGCTGGGTTTGAGTTTGGGGGTAATTGCCATAAACGTTTAGGAATGAGGGGCCAAAAAGGGGCCAAA